ATAATAGGATAAAACTTTTAAATATGCTTTCTCTCTTCCTTCTTGAATGATATTAAGCAGGATTCAATTATAACACAGTATCTAACAAAAACAATTATGCATGGTGTAGAATATAATTTGCAAACCGTGCACAGAAATAGGCTTTTATTTTCAAAGCGTTTCTGTGCAAAACGTGGCTGCACAGCACACTGGTCCCTCTGTCCTAAATTTCAGAATTCAGTGAAACTTCAACCTCAAATGTGTATGTTGTTGTATTTGCAGCCCAGTGAGAAATGCTGAAAAAAGTGATACACAGGGGGGGAAAGGTCACTCCAAAAATAAGTTTAAAAAATAAAATAATGTTTTGTGGCTTGAAAAAGGAAAATAAAAAAACAACTGCCAATGGAACAAGTGAAGGTTAACTTGACAAYATTTCTAGAAATAAAGGATTTGATTCAAGCTTCACAAGATAAAGGGAACCTTGAATCTGTGAAAACTCATTACTACAATATTTTTCTGCAATTGTGAGCTTTTGTGTCTCAAAATAAGTTTGTGATGCTCAAAAGTTGCATCCTTTCCCTCAAAGGTAGCATCTTTTTTTTTACCTTGCTCGTCATCTTCCTGTTTAAAAATTTATTTAACTATTTTAGTTTCATACTTGTGGTAATGCTCTGGAACCAATTCCACAACCTACTTAAACAAGAGTAGAAAATGATATTTTAAGACAAATCATCTTAGGAGCGATGCATTATGTATTTTTCAGGCACATACATACCACAACCAAGTAACTATGTTACCTTCAGTTGTTATGAAAATGCTGTATATAAAGAAACTGACTGCATCATAATCTATGTAAAAGTCTTAAAGTTGGCCTCTTTAAGAACTGTTTCTGTTTCTGACAATCCCACTTCAGCACATCTCCACACCAATGCTTCAGGGGAGGGGTGCTCTGTGGGATGGACTAAGCTCATGGGCGGTGCTTTGTACCAGCAAGCGTTTAGGCAGCTCCACAGGGCCACCACAGGAGATTCAGCGCTTTTTCAAACATGCATGAATGAGTCAAAGCAACACTGTTTGTGATGAGGGAATGACATTATAACAAGATGTAAAGCTCAAAAAAGTCAATTTTGCATAGTACTCCCCTTCAATACAAGCATTCCTTACTATCATTAGTACCGGGTAAGTGATTTCACAGCAYTATAAATTTTTTCTACTTTTATCACATTTGTTGGGTAAATATATCACAGATGTCTTGTCCTAAACTTAAAACATTTTTCATTTTTTAAAACATTTTTCTGTGCTTAAACACATTTTATCACACTGACATTGCATTCAGTATCCAGTGTAACAACCAATGCTGCTATGTTCCATTTTCACTTAGTCAGCTAACTCTTAGACATAGACCCTGGTCTTTATAGACATTTCATAGACCCTTAGACATTTAAAAAATAATAATTTAAACCAGCATTTACGATTAGCAATGAAGCAGATTTGTCATATTTCAAGAAAAATAACTTGAATTATTATTTTTTTATGTTTACCAAACCTCACAGCAACTTCAAACTCTTATGAAGTATAAAAAGGCTTGTTTCATTTAAGAAATTAAATGATTCCAAGGCTATACTTATCATGTTTCAACAGGATGCACTGTCTCAAAACAAAATGTTTTATCTCAAATGTGTCTCTGTAAATGGTTTTGACTTACATTAAGAAGAGGTTTTTGCAATGAAGGTTTTGAATTACATTTTTTCTTTTTTCTCTCAGAGTTCTGTTTGAATATTTTGTATTTTCTCTATTTTAGAAACACATAAATATGAATACTTTGTGTGTGGAGGAGCTGGTTTTTGTTTAGTCTCCAGGGCCCACTGTAATTTTTTTTATTGTTACAAACTTAAACCTTCTATTATCCACCTCTTGAAAAGGTTGGCCTTTTTTTGTCTGACCAAAACAAGGATTACTTTAAAGATGTTTTTCTTTGATTTCCTAAATGCTTGTAACACAACTCACCCTGCGKTGCTTTGTGAGCAGCTGCAGTAAACACAGGTGAGCAGCTGCAGTTAACAGGTTAATGCCTCCACAAGCACTTWAAATAATGACACCCCCCACACCCCCCAACCAACAAGCAGCAGTTGGTGTTACTGAGGGGTGTGGGAGCAGGTGTTCTGCACAACCCGAAGCCCTGTCATCTGCAGAAATAATGTCCTCTCTGTGCATCTGTGATTCTGGGCATTCAGCTGGACAGCTGATTGGAAAAGCAGCACTCAGACTGTTTAAAAATGACACAGAGAAGACTCAACTTYATGAATAATCTTGGGTTTATCATTACTTGGTAAGGATCGGTGGAAAAGGGAAAATGACATTTATGTAAATGTAAGGGCAGCAGGCTACAGTCTCTTAATAACGTTCTGATCCAACAATGAGCCATATTCAGAGACTTCAGCTCTGCTATCATGAACACGTCACTCATTGAAAAAAACTTTCAAAATTACTGTTTTTGCCAAGAAACATGAGTCTGCTTGGGTGGATGGACTTTAAATTACCAGCATAACATTATTTTCAATGGGATTATTGAGGCATCACTCGTCTAAATATGTTTTTACAAATCAGATTTAGTGTTCTGTTCCGTCAACTCTTCTCCCAACATATTTTCTACAAATGAACCAAATGTGCAAAAAAAGCACATGGTTAGAATAAATGTGCAGTTTCATTCTGTTTAACTGTTCCAAAAATTTTGTCCCAAATTTAGATGCATTATGATAGTTTATCTCCTGTAATTCATGTGTAAAAAAAAAAAAGGTCATACCTAATTTCCTGAACCAGCAGTCATTTATTTCTGCTGTTTTGATTAAAAAAATTAAAGGTCTAGCACTCCTTTAAAAATTACATATTGCCAGGTGCCTCTTATGTCACGTTTGAAAAATGTCAGAATATCGTCTGTTAGCAATAAATGGTCTCAGCTTACAAAGTGCTTTATCAAATCCAAAGACYGCAAAAGTTGTCCATCTAACCAAGCTTTGTTCACCTGGAAATTTGAGTCAAATTAAGTTATTTCAAGAATCTTACCAAATGCCATTGTCTTACTCCATTGGCAGATTTTTCACCTCATTTGACTCAAATTTTCAGTTTAACAAGATTAACAATCAAACACATTCTGCTCTGCTTTACTAAGTCTGTCTCAAAACAAGATCAAATTTTTTTGGCTGGATATAAGCTCTAAAGTGCTTCACACTACAGACATTCACCCATTCCTACACTGATGGTGGTAAATGTAGCCACAGCTGCCCTGGGGCAGGCTGAAAGAAGCAGGGCTGCCATGCACTAGCACCACYAGACCCTCTGACCACCACCAGCARACAAGGCGGTTGAAGTGTCTTGCTCRAGGACACAACGACTGAGATGGGCCAGGATGGGGATTCAAACCTGGCAGCCCACCAGTTACAGGACAAACTCCTTTTTATCTTTTTGAGCCACTGTCTTCCCAATAAAATAATGGAGTCATAGTTATTTTGTTAAGATCTAAGGCTTATTAGATGTGGAAATTATCTTGATTAGGTAGTCAGTTGTAAATGTACGTCTAAGAGTTTCATCAGAATATGTCCATCCAGACCATCAAGTGCCCTTGTCGAACCTGTTTTTTTACAGTGCATCGATGGTCCTTGGTTGCCCTTAAAAAGTGTACTACAATATACTTGATTTGATTTGATTTATTGATTTAACAGGAAAAGATTACTAAAAATCAAGCCTGACTCAGCATAATTGTTGTTTTACAGCAGGTTCCTGTTCTGCAGCACATAAAGCCCTCAGAAATACAGCATCACAATCACATCATTATACACCATAGACACAAAGACAAACAAGCATACCAAATTTCAGGAAGGCAGCATTTGCAAAATAGGACGTCTAAATATGAGCACAACAAAAAGTGTCCAGCAGATGGCAGACAAGATTCTTCTTAAAGGGCTGTAGTTTTGAAATGGACTTTATGTTTTGAGGAATGTCATTCCATGCTTTAGTATAAACATAGAAGAAAGACCTCTGGCCGTAACAGTTTTTAAAAGTTGGTAATATCAGTTGTCCTTTTGTAACAGATCTAGTTGAATGACCACTTCCAGAATTTGATTTGGGCAGCAATGCACAGAGAGTTCCATAATTGGCACCTTGGAAGATCTGAAAATATAAATTAATACCACTATACAAAACATAATTCTGAAAAGCCAAGGCATCAGACAATGAAAGAACTGTACAGTGATGAGTCCAACCAGGAAGTGTTTTATGAATTTTGTAGGCCCTGTTGTAGAGCCTAACTATGGGTTCTAAGATTTCATTTGTTGTAAGAGACCAAACAGGTAAACAGTACGACATGGTTGAGAGGATAATGGCATGAAGATAGATATTTGAAACAGAAGATGTCAGATTGGATCTAATTTTTGAATAAACGTATAATTTCTACTTAAAACTTACAAGATGTGTCTGTAATAAATGTCACATTACTAGGACAGCCGGTGATTCTGTGCACTGCACAAGGTGCCCTACTTTTTTCACTTGAGCACCTGACCCCCAAAAATGTCTGGGCACACCACTGACCACCACACAGTATATCTGTAAATGTATTCAAAATGGACTRAATAATCCCAAATGTTTGTGTTTACTAAGGTTCATTAGCAGTGCTGGCCATCTTGAATCAGGTTGACCTCAGGAATAATTTGGTTTTAAATTTTTTGTTCAAACCTGTTCAGCAGTTGCTGAGACAGACACACTCTGGCAAAAYGCATTATTGCCCGTGATGTTCCTTTTGGCAGCAGGCCATAAAAACCCTTTACAACTTCCTGAACATGCAGCATTGAACACAAAGGAGGGGAGGAAAAAAGACTGCCCCTTTTCAATTTTCATCTCTTTGAGCGTGTGTTACATTCAGATTCTCTCCACTCCCTTTGTGCCAGTAATTGTTTCCATTCCATAAACCAGACATTTATAAATCAACCTTGAAAAGTAAAACCTCCGTCTCTTTGTTTCCTCCACAGGAACAGTTTGTGTTCGTGACCGGCTGACGATTCGTTTCTGTCAGACGCTGCGCTCGCTTGGCAGCTGCCACCTGCYCAACATACAAGCCAAGTGCTGCAGAACCTGCAGCCAGCGTTCCCCCATCAGCCTCACGTCACCCCGCCACTCAGGTTGAGTGCCTCATCAACAAGGACACTGATTGCACCACAGGGTGGTTAATTATAGGAGAGTCAACCAGCCAACCCTGCTCTTAACTGCAGATTAATGGTGAGGCGGACACTCTGTTTAGGCGCCATTAATGTGCAAGTTTGAAAAGGAAAACACTGAGATTGTAAATAATTCTTTGCACTTTTTTATATTATACAAATTGACAATGTCTGTATGGCAGAATGTAGAGTTTTAGAGAAAAAAATAATCTTTTGATCTATCTATGCATTAATACACCTGTAGACAAACCAGTCTTTTTTTTTCTTTTGTCCAATTATACATTTCATTTCAACGACAACTGCACAGCTGCAGCAACCAGGTCAGTGTTTTTATATCTCATGTGGTACAAAAGCTAAGAAACAAAACAAATACTGTATGGTGCAGAACAGTGTTGTATGTTTTATAAAGTGTGTGTGTGTGTGTGTGTGTGTGTGTGTGTGTGTGTGTGTGTGTGTGTGTGTGTGTGTGTGTG